TGGGGCGGGGGAGGTGGGGATGTACCTCAGGTCAGTGGTAAAAGGCCCCTGGGATCAATCTCTAGTAACACAAAACGAACAAAACACATCAATCACAGCCTAACTATTTCAGTGTCACCATAGTGATAGAAACAGATACTGGGTTTAAAAAAAAAAAAAAAAAGTAATATTCCTGGGTTTACAAAGATTACTAACTTTAAGTGATTAATTCTTTTACCACTATAAGTACTCCCACATGAAAATAACCTAAATACCTGGGAATACTATTAATTATACACGGGACTTCTGGGATGAAAGAAGCTAATAAAGAGTTAATTTTCCTAAGGGTAGACTCCCTGGTATTATGGGGAAAAAAAAATAAAAGTTCTTTTCCTTTTCTAGGCAGGCCTAAGTTTTCCCTATATGTTCAAGATTTATTCTTCACAGATGGACTTACTAGCACTTCCTAGCTCCCTACTTTCTTCAGCAGGGAACTGATTCATGTGGGACACAGAGGATTCCTCAAAGGAGTATTTATGAGGTCATTGACCTAGAAGGCACAATCGGATCTCTGTCTGATGGAGTTATAGTCTCTTGAGAATCTGTAGTGGCAGCCCAAGGCAGTGCGGGTAGGTCTGGGGTGATGCAGGAGGACTGATATGAGCCAGAGAGAGAAAAATCTCTCAGGACTAGGTTCCAATCAGGTTCTCAAATGCCCTTTCTGCTGCTGATGCACAGACATTTCTCCAAACTATGTACTATTTTTTTAAAATATTCTTTTTAGTTGTAGATGGACACAATACCCTTATTTATTTATTTTTACATGGTGCTGGGGATCGAACCTAGTGCTTCACATGTGCTAGGCAAGCACTCCACCATTGAGCTACAACCCCAGCCCCTGTTCTATTATTCTTTACTCATTTTTTTCATTTCATGAATAGTGGTCTCCCCTAGCAACTACAAATGTGAGAAAACAATATAATCAAGATTGAAACAAAGGAAAATCCAAATAACTTGAAATGAAAAAAATTATATTCACCACCTGCAAATTCAACATGTCCAAAAATCATACTCTCCCAAATCAGCTCCTTTTCCAACCTCCTCTTTTGGACAAAATACTTCCTCTTTTTTCATACTCAGGCTTAAAACTTTGGGAACACTCTGGGCCCTTTCTTTTAAGCCTTATAACTGGTTTGACTTCAAATTTCAGATTCTTCCTTCAACATCTCTCACTCCATTCACATAGGCAGTTTTTTTCTCCCAGTACTGGGAACTGAACCCAGATTCTCATGCAAGCCTGGCAAGCACTCTATCACTGACATCTCCAGCCCTTTCTAACTTTGTTCTGAGACAGGGTCTTGCACTAAATTTCCCAGGCTGGCCTCAAACTTGTGATCTGCCTCCCAAGTAGCTGTGATTACAGGCATGTACCACCACACATGGCTATATAAAGCAATTTTTATTGTTTATATACTTATATTAGTTCTAGGAGATACTGGTGGTAGAGAAGGGTATTATTTGGAGATGTACACAGACACAGCTACTAAACAACTCTCCTAATAAGTAGATGAGTGGTTGAGAAAAAAGTATTATAAAGATTTGGAAGTGTGAGATGTCTGGGGGGTGGCCACTCAAATCTAGACTTTGACTCCAACATCTAACTTGGATCAGTAGTAGTGGAGGGAAATGGGAATGATAGCACTCAGAGGATAAGGTGGATGCTGGGAACTAAAGGTCCAAGAAAGCAATGGTGAAAATGAAGGTTTACTTCAAGTGGTGGCAGCTTCTGAACACCTTCAGGAGAGGTCCTAACTCTTGGGCTTCCAGGTCATTTCCCTTCCATTGTTTGCTCCTTCTTTATAGCTGACACCTACTTTCACCAGAAACTTCCCTAGGGGCAAAACAAATTTGATGGAATCTGCATTTGTGATCACTGAGTGTTCCTTCTGCATTTATAATTTGTTGGAGGCTGCTGCCACAAATGGCTGAACAGGAAGCTGTCTGGTCCCTTTAGCACTAACAGAGATTGACATAGGCTGGAGGATCAGAAAGCAAAAACTGTCAACCTTCCACAACCCTAACTATGGTTGTGAGCTAAGATGGAGAATTCTAACTTAATCCTTTCCAAATTTGCTTTCATTTTATGGCTCTGCTTGCTTAAGGATCTACAATGATTCTATTACCTACAATAGTCTATTCAAATCCTTTGCCCTAGAAGCCAAGGTTATGCATAATCCAACCCCATCAAACCTTTTCAATTTCATCAATCACTACTTTTCTATAACAACCTTCTTTTTTTTAGAGGGCTAAATTACAAAATGTCTACTATTACAGAGAGAGACAGATGAGCCAAGTTAAAGTAGGAAACATTTTAGGCCATTTTTTAAGGCATAAATAAAATTATGTTACAAAAATATTTTTAAGAACTTAGCTGTCAGCTGGGCATGGTGGTGCACACCTGTAATCTCAGCAGCTCAGGAGGCTGAGGCAGGAGGATTGCAAATTCAAAGCCTTTCTCAGCAACTTAGCGAGGCCCTAAGTGACTCAGCGAGATCCTGTCTCAAAATAAAATATAAAAAAGGGCTGGAAATATGGCTTAGTGGTTAAGCACCTCTGGGTTCAATCCCAGGTACAAAAAAAAAAAAAAAAAAAAACTGAGCTCTCTTTTCAAAGTGTTCTGAATCAAAAAATTATTGTTTTCAGAATGTATAAATTTGAAAGAAAAGTTACAGATAACAACAATAATGTTCTTTTTGTGTGTGTGTGGTGCTGAGGATTGAACCCAGGGCCTTGTGCATGGAGGCAGGACTCTACCAACTGAGCTATATCCCCAGCCCAACAATAATGTTCTTTATCTTGGTAGTGGATGAGATTGTTTTAGCTACAAACAGTGAATATATAATTTGAATATGTAGTTCATTGGATATAAACATTATACCAAAATAAACTGTAAACAAATCCTAGTCAATGATATGCCAAAATAGGAGACAAGCATACTGATACACACAATTTAAATGAATGGATAGGTATGTGATAAAACAAATTACAGAAAAATGTTAATGGTAGGATCTAGGTGGTGATGAGGTGTTTTTTATAAAATTCTTCAGACTTTGCTGAATGTTAGAAAATTTTCATAATAAAACATTGGAAAAATGACACTGACAACACACTGTACATATTAATTGTAAGCCCTGATAACACACTATACTTTCTAAAGTTGTAATATGATAAGCTTAGTGGCAGCACCAGGCATTTGTCCACTGATGCTTCCAAAGCAACCTGCACAAACCTCTTAGAGCATGGTTGTCTCTTCAACCACATTATATGTTCTTGGTGGTCACAGATCTAATCTCATTTGCTTTATGCCATATTTGGAAACTAATATGTGTTCAATAATAGTGAAATGACTTGAATGAAAATTAATATTGCAAAGTATCAGTGTTATGTTCCTAGCAGATTCATTTCTCACCCTAAAAGTTAATCTGTTCAATTTGCAAGAGAAACATATCTTTTACTTTTCCCCAAGCATGCAAAACCTCCCAAAATAAATACTTTTTAAAACCTTATCTGTACTCATTTTGTATGCTATTAAACTTGAATGTGAAAGCCTAACATTCGATAATGTTTTAGGTTTGCCCCCCCCCCCCAAAAGAGCTAAGTCAGAATTCCAAAGTGGCCTCGAATTTGTTTTGTTCAAATTTTAGAGTGTTAAAACTAAGAGATTCCTCAAAACTGGTCAAAAGTAGAAAACTGGAGATCTGGGAAGAAAATAAATGACACAAAAAAGTAGTGAAACAAATTAATTGAGAACTCTTAAGGCACGGAATAAAGCCTTATCTCCAATTCCCCGGAGACTGGCTCCTCTTCTCCTCCTCCCTCGGATTACAGCCAGTCAGAGAGGGGCCACTGGCCACTCCCAGGATGCCTCGCGAAAGGAGCGGATGCCTCTGAACATCCATCTCCCCACGTCAACATCACACAGCACCGTCTCGTGGCGTGAGCACCTGGTTCCGACCTGGAGGAGTTCGAGTCCCATCTCCCCCTCCTACCTGGTCGGTAGCTCTGCGCAAGTCTCCTTCCCTCGCTGGGCCTGTTTCCTTACTTGTGAAATGTAATGATTCTCTATCACTGACTACAGGGCGATGAGGAATGTAAAGGCGCTCTAAGATGCAACTAACTCTACTTGTTATGGCTTTCAAGCTCGCGACGCTCACCAAGTAGCCCAAGACCAATCTCTCAAAGTCACCTCTGTCCCTCACTCCCTTCCCGCCCCGCGCTGGTGCTGAGGCCGCTCCCTCTAGTCGGCCATGTGGAAGCCACGCGGCGCTGCCAGCCGTACCTGCAGCCACCTGGTCAGCGGGGCCCTCCTGCTGACCCATGACGAAGTCTTGCACGAGGCCCCACAGGGCGCCCGTAGGCGCCGCCGCCTCCAGAGCGGCGGCGGCAGCCATGACGCGTACCCGAGACGGTGGGTGGGGAAGTAGGAGGTGGTAAAAGAGAGACCTTTCGCGCACGCGCCTTCTGAGCCAATTGCTGGGCGAAGGCCGAGGGGGCGGGGCGCTCTCTGGATCACGTGCCTGCCGGCTCCGGTCCAGGCAGTTCCAGGGAGGGACGGGACTGCCCCTCCCCGAGGGGCGGGGCCTGAGGTCGGGGCGGTGGCGCGGAGAGGGGAGGAGCCTGCTGGGCACGCAGCCGGGGGCCATTGAGGGCGAATAATTCCCGGCCGGACTCCCCGGGAGACCGGCGGAGGGGCGGGTACCTGGCTGGGTGGGGCCGGGGGGCGGTGCGCACTCTGGGGGAAGCCAATGAGAAAATCAGGCCCGGCCCGAGGGGCGGTGCCGTCAGTCACATGCGCACCTGGGGCGAGTGGCGGCGGCGGCGCGGGCACCGCCAGCCGGCGGAAGAGAGCTGGGCCGGGCTGGGGCGGGGTTAGGCAGGTGAGTGACAGGCTCTGGGGGGCCGGCCCCAGCTGGGAGCCCCGAGCGAACCCTGAGTAGCTGCGGCGGTGCCCGCCCCCTCTCCGCCCCTCCAGCGGGGCTGGTCTCTGGCCGGGCACCGTCGCGGGCCCCCCTGGCCCGGCCACCTGGGACTGTGCTGAGAGTCGGCCACCTCCCTCTCTCCCCTGGCCCGCAAAGTTTGTGGCGAAGCCGGCGCCGGGCAGAGCGCCCCCGGGGGGAGATCCGGGAGCGCCCGATGCCGAGCGGCAGGAGCCGTTGACCCCGGACTCCGCCGTCCGGGGCAGGAACGCGGAGCAGTCGGCCAGCCGCCGCCTCCGGTGCATGGGGACCGGCTGAGGAGCCAGCATGGGCAACTGCGTGGGGAGACAGCGCCGTGAGAGGCCGGCCGCCCCAGGACACCCCCGCAAACGAGCAGGTAACGCTGGGAAAGTGAACAGGGCCACGACTCCCCGCCAGTTGTCCCCCTCCTGGCCGGAGCCCTGGGGTTCCCGAGCGACCTCCCGCGGCGCCTGGGCTTCCTCGATGTCTCTCGAAGGCGGACGGGACCCCCCTCCTCTGGGCGGGGTGACCAGGGGAGCCGAGTTGGGGCAACTGCAAGTTCTGACCCGGCTGCGAGACTAACTCGCTCCAACTGGGAAGCTCCTGGTGGGGGCGGGGGCAGGGGCAGGGGCAGGGGCAGGAAATGTTTGCAGACCGCAGTGGGGCCACGGAGGGAGGGGGCCAGGATGAGGACGCCGCTGGCCTGGCAGCCCGGGCCGGGGTCGGACGCCGGCCCGTCGGGGCGCGGCGCGGGCAGCCAGGCGGCCCCAGAACTCTGAGCTAGCGAGACGAAAGAACAGTCGCTCCTTGCAAAGACTGTGTCATTATCGGGCTGCAGATCGTGTCTGCCGGAATCCGACTTGCAAAAGCAGCTCAGGACTCTGGGAAGGAAATCTTTATTTTTCCCCGCAGGGCTTTTTAGAGCCTCCTGGCCGTCTGGGAGTCTAAGAGAGCTGGGGTGCGTAGTGAGAGTCACCCTCAGGTTTGTTGGGATCCTTCCCAGCACTAGGAGTGGGATCTGCTCGCTGGTGATCCGAGAGGCCTGGGCAGCGCTGTCTCACTTTCTTGGTACAACCTTCCTATCCTGGCGCTTCACCCGGGGAAGAGGTCTGGCAGTCGTTTGAGTCTTGTAGTCACTTCCTTTTCTGAAGGTGTTGCAAGGACCCTTCTGAGAATGATAAAATAGACTTTAGAGCTCAAAGGAGCCTTTGAAACTTGTCTAGATTTCTGGTAGACTTACATCCCCCCTATGTAAGTGTCCATATTCAGAGAGGTTGAGTAACTTCCAAAGTCACACAGCTGGTTAGTAGTACAGCTGGGCTAGAACCCCATCTTCTCTTCCACCTGATTGCCACATACCCTTTTGTGTAAGAGAGGCTACAGCCACAGTTGTTAATGAAGTGGAAACTCTAGTTGGAGTTTCCTGTCTACTTCTCCACCAAAGGTGTGTTGCTTGGATTGCGGAAACTGGAAAAAAGAATGGGGGAGACCTGGGGGAAGCAGTGAAGGATGTCTGTGTGGTGGACAGGATGACTTGTGCAGGAAGAAACGTGTTTTCATAGGAAGAATGGGGTAAAACTGAACATTAAAATCTTGTCTGAGGGCAACCCTGGCCATTCTTCTGACTGAGGAAAGTTGATTTTCCACCCAAAGGCTTCCTTTTCATTCATTCATTCATCAACTTTTTTTTTTATAATCTCAGTCCTTGATTTTATAGCATGTTTTCACTGTTGACAACCCTCTTCCACTGAAAGTCTCCCCCACTTCTTTTCTTGGCATTAGACTGTCTTGATTTTCCTTTTTGATCACTCTAACCCACTACCCACTTTCCTATCCCTCTACCCACCTAGGGTTGGAACATCTATGGTTCAATTTGACATTCTGTTTTTTCTCATTACACTCCCTCCCTGAGAAATCTTCTTCAATCCCACACTTTGACCATTGGGAAGATCCCTACATCTCTATCTTCAACTGAAACCCCAGACCCACATATCCAGCACCCACTGGACACCGTGATATAGATAGAATTAAGATTTAGCACCTCTAAAACAAAGCTGTGCATCTCCCCTAAACTACCTTCCCTTTACTCTTCTGTTCTTAAGTTGCCTGACTTTGTTCTTTGAAGAACTCTCTCTGGTGAGTCTGTGCTTCCTTGTCCTCTGCTTCCCATTCAGTTGGTCACTGGGGCCTGCTGATTCTTCCTTCAGACATGCCTCTTCCCAAATGACTTATGCCCTTGTCATCTCAAGTCCACCTCTTCTGCCAGTTTGGAGTGAGTTCCCCACCAAGGGCAAGTTCGCCTTCAGTCATTCATCAAATGCCTGCACACAGTGTCCTCTCAGGAGGCGTTTGTTAAATCAACATGTTTTAAACCCTGCAGTTTCAATATTCAAAACATTTTTGCACCTTCTCAATCCTACAAGCTCTTTCAAGGCTGTTCAAATGTGGCCTAGTCCTTGTAAGACTTATTTCTTTATCTTCTCATGAGCCACCAGTGTTTGCTCATCCATTTCCCCTTCTTATTGAGACCTTTTTTTCCTTCAAGGTCCACCTCAAATCCCATGTCCTTCTTGATTGCCCCACTTGACAACCTCCCCCACCCGCCCCTAGCAGAAGTGATTGTTTCTTCAGAGAACTCCTGCAGACACATTACCTATGCCACTTACTTGATAATTATCTACTCCATATTATTAGTCATTTCTTTGATGTTCACAGTCTTGTATCAGCAACCACATTACAAGCCTGAAGACCTGGGTTCTCTCTTTCCTTTGTGTATTTGTCTCTGTCTCTCACTCATATGACCATGCATACACACACTCGGCACATAGCACACAGAGACCTGTACAGAGGAAGCACTCAATATTTGTTGACTTTAGAAAGCTAACCGAACTTCACCTTGCCACCTGAATTCTTTATGTAAACATTTTACTGAAGTATATACCTGCATTTTTTTTTTTTTTTTTTTGCCTGCTAGTGAATCGTTATTTTAATTCCATGGGTCCTGCTATGAATAGCGTTATTCATAAAGTCCAAAGCTCAGGGGAACTCTGTAGGATCACAGATTTGGTACAAGGGAAGAATCCTTCTTAACTTCACAGCATGCATCTAGCATTCCTTTAACATCTGCAGCTTACCCTTTGACAAGGATATAGTTTCATGTTGTAAGGCTAATGTATAGGGCTGGAGGTGTTGCTCAGTGGTAGAGCACTTGCCTAACACGTGTGAAGCCCTCCATTCAATTTCCAGCGCTGTAAAAAAGAAAGAAGGAAAAAAAAGCTAGGTATGTGGTGGTGCATACTTGTAATCCCAGCAACTGTGAGGCTGAGGCAGGAGAATTGCAAGTTTGAGGCCAGCCTCAGCAACTTAGTGAGACCTTCTCTCAAAAAATAAAAAGGGGGACTGGGATTGTGGCTTAGTGGCAGAGCACTGGCCTCGCACATGTGAGGCACTGGGTTCAATCCTCAACACCACATAAACATGATACAAAAAATAAAGGTATTAAAAAATAAATGAATAATGGGGCTGGGATTGTGGCTCAGTGGTGGAGCACTCGCCTAGCACATGCACAGCCCTGGGTTCGATCCTCAGCACCACATAAAAATAAATACATAAAATAAAGGTATTATGTCCAACTACAACTAAAACGATATTTAAAAAAATAAATACAAATAAAAATAAAAAAGGGCTGGGAATGTAGCTAGTGGAAAAGTGCCCCTGGGTTCAAGCCCTAACCAAAAAAAAAAGAAGAAGAAGAAAAAGAAAAAGACTAATGCCTGAAACTAACTCCCCAGCTCCCACTGTAACCGTCGCCTTTTCTTTGCCACTCCTATACTGGGAAAAAACCCTCAGCAGAGAGCTAGAACCTGAATTCTAGTCCTGGTTCTTTGTTCAGTGATCCTGGGCAAGTCGCCCAGCCTCTCTGGGCCACACTTCCAATATCTCAGGCAGGGAATTAAACAAGGTCATTAGAGCAGTTTTATCATTTTCATAAAGGTGACTGTTCAAAACTGGAGTAATTGAGGTGAAATATATTGCCTTATAATGCCACCTTTTGTCCTTAGTTCTATCTTCTCAGTTACATGACAGGTGAATCCCTGCCATTAGTCAGGAATTCTTGCATTGGATAAAAGGTTCTCTCATCTCATCAAGTTTTGGATTGTTGCCATTTATTATTTATTTCTCTTGCTTCTCTGAATGTATCCCCAGTAGGCGTAGGTTCTTCTCCAGGTGCTGGGTGTGCTTGCATGCTTCTGTGAATACTTGAGGATCTGGAGGGGCGCTTGCCAGCCTATACATCTACCCCAAGTAGATCAATATTTCTACCTGTGACCTGGGTGGAGCAGCCCATCCCCCAGCCACTGTCAGAAGAAATACAGGTAGTAGAACAGGCAAGTCTCTTGCCTAGCTCCACCCTTTGAGAATGTGGCAGGGCTGAAACCCAAATATCTGACTCTGTGATGTGCCAGGCGTATCCATTTACGTTCTGGAATCTCAAGCTCTGGGTGTACAGACCCAGGGCCCTGTTTGGGGCTGGTTGTGCTTGGGAGGGAGTCTGCTTCTTTTGTGGGCAGTGTGGCTATTCTTGAAAGTGTAATTGGGCAACTTCTCCATTTTCTCAATAAATAATTAGTGAGTGCCCTGTACCTTGCTGACTGTAAACAGATTTGGTCGTTGGCCACAGGGAGCTTACAGTCTTGTGGGGACAGACAGTAAACATACAGACAAATTACACATGATCATCTATGTGAATCTTGTAGGATTATACATACTGTTACATATTATATATGCTGGAGATGCTCAAGTTTATAATCTTACCATCCTCTCCAACTCTCCAGCCTTATAGATTTGCTGCCTACTCAACAAATCTGATATCCACAAGGTCTCTCAGTTTTATGTGTCCAAGCCAGAATGAATCTTGCTTCTACCCGTGTTCCTCCTTTCATTGTTCCTATCTCCGAAGGTTGAATTCCTTATTCTAGTTGCCCAGTCCCTTAAACTCTGGAGTCATCGCTGACCTCTCCCTTTCTCTCAAATCCCACATCCATTTAATCGATAAGTCTGTTGGTGTTGCCTTTTTGTATCCTGCACCTGACTCTCTGTCTCCACCACTTTCACCCTAAGTTGGCCTCTTCACTGACCTTCCTACTTCCTCCCTTGTCTCCTGACAGACAATTTCCATCACAGCAGCCACAGTGATGCTGTAAACTCTTAAGTCAGATTTTGTTACTCCTTTGCTCATCCCTTCCTGTGACTCCGGATCTCATTCAAAGTCTTTGTACTGGCTTGGAAGTCACAATATGAGTTTTGCCCATTTTCTTTTCTGGAGCATCTCTTGCTCTTCATCCCCTTGTTCAACCCCCAAGTGCCTGAATGGGT